AAGAGTATTACTTATGTTTATTCAATTATTTCCACATACACAATATGAGTAACTTAGTTTAAACTACTTATCATATTTATTGGTTGATCAATATATTTGCCCATATTCTACACATATCTAATAAAGTTTTTAAATTAAATTTATATAATCTTTTTCTGAAATTTAAAAATTTTCCAAACATTAAACAAATAATGACATGTATGTAGAAAAGCGATACAAAAACCACATAGTGATAAATATTAAATTATTTATAAATTTTTGTTTATACTTTTTTGATTAGTATTATGCATTATGAATTGCTATGGTATTTTACCATGCCTTAGCGTTGTTGATAAAATTGCTTTAGAACTTATAATTACAAATAATATTTCAAACAAATTATCCAGTGTTCAATTATAATGCTAATTTAAAGATATTCTTCGGTTTAACTAGTGATAATTTAACCTAGCAACTTGTCTATTTAGTTAAAATCATATCAATTGGTAAAGATATTTTTTACCACTGTTGATTTTCTCTACATGCCTACATTCATATTGACAATTGTCAAGTATTAGTACACAATGTATGGTCTAATATATCTCATACAATTGCATTCGTTTTACTCGTATTGTACAGAGTCTGATGACTGTTGATGTAATTAAGCACGAGAGCCCAAATGAATGCTTTATTGTGTGTATTTACTATGGGTTTTACACTTGCGTTTTGTTCCGTATATTGCATTTGCTTTCTAGGTTTAACCAGATAGGTTCTCTATCTTTTGTAGTGAATCATGAATGTTTACTCACATTGGTCTAATTTATTTAAAAGTGCTGATTCAGTTTACAAAAAAAATATTTTGTCGATTAGGAGATAAACAAAAAATCATGCCCGTGTACCAATTGTATTGATGAAGTAAAAGTTACTATAGTGGTGAAAGTTTGAATTCTTATCAAACCTTTTACATACACTTCATGTTCAGTTTTTGTTATTACTTCAATGATGTTGATGTAAATTCTTATTATTTAATACTTTAACATGACAAGTACTATATAGATTTTTTTCTCATAATTAATAATTTTATCATAAATTCCGAGTTGTTTGAAGTTTCCCATAAACTCTCAATTTTTTATGCAGATCATTATTAAACTAGATGCAGTTCAATTTTATTATTAGACAAATTTTTAAAGCTTTGAATTATTTGTTGCACATAATCGCACACAATCTTATAAAATTCCTGTATTAATCTTATGTGAAAAATCTAATTTAATAATAGTCGGTCTTAGAATCCAATCAGAATACCATACCTCATATGAATCGCAGCGCTCATTCTTATATTTTACTAATAATTTATATTTGGAAAGTACCACAATACAATTGTTTATGCCATACTCATGTCGTGTATGAAATATATATTATTTATTCAGGGCCTGTATGTATTATCCAAATGACAGACATGCACATCCAAATCAGGAGTGATTGTTCTGTTTCAACATTGTTTTGTCGTGCCGTGTATGAGATATATTCGCCAGCGTTTATAAACGAAAGCTTGGTATATTTTACTCATCGAAAACAATAATAATAAAAATTAATAATGTTTTTATTCAAGCGACTATTGTCTTTCAGTAGTTGAAGGTAAAACTTCAACAACATCTGCCCATGACTTTTTGTTGACTATAAACAATGAAATATTGAATTTGAATATTTTTATGTATAATATAAAACAAAAACAAAAACAGAAACAAAAACAAAAACAAAAACAAAACAATAATAAACAAAACAAAAGTAAAGAAAAGAATTTTTTTACAAAAGTGGGTAATTTGCACCTTAGTCTGGTGCTAGCTTTCCTGGTTAAATTGTTTGAATGAACGTTATTTCTACTTTTGTGACTGAAAATTTAGAAAATATACTGATGACAAGTATATCTATTATTTTTGAGTAAAAAGATATGCTTTGCGATTTCCTGTTCAAATTGTTATATTTAGAACCGTATTTAGTGTTTATTAAACCAAGAGTTTTTTTTACGTAGAGTAGATCTTTTTGAAGAGTCCTCAAAGGAGCTTCCGTGTTTTTATTAAATTGTACTTCCTCGCTCTTGGGTTATTTTGCTATAAATAATACATATGTTTATATTCAAATTGTGAGTAAATCTACAATCAGCTGGCAGTCTATTAGTTGTTAGGATGATAAAACAGAATATTACGTCATTTCCCGTGGGCAGTTACTGCGCTCGTCTTTTGCCTCAAGCTAAACAGTGGACTAAATCATGACATGATGACCCTCCAGTTAATAATTGATAAATGCCAATATTCTTGGTTAAAAAATCTGAATAATTTTTAAATGCATTTTTATGCACTTTTGATTAAATTTCCATACATTTGCTTAAAATATTTGTAGCAGTATATCTAAAAAATCACCAGTCTTGTGGTACAGTATTCTCACCTATAAAATAGAACTGCCTACTTCAGCTGTTTTTCTAAAAAAAATTTTTTATCATATAGCAATTTTTCCACATGTCCTAAAATGGATAAGTAAAACTGTAGGATTAAAAAAAAACTTCAAATGTTTTAGTAGGATAAAACTTGATAAAAGAAGTTCAACTAGTGAGATAATTTCATATAAGAATATGTAAAGTAAATCATCATCTCCTGTATGAAGTTTATATTATTCTATAGTTTACCCCAAGTACTCTAATTTTGTTTAATACCATATTTTTTTAATAATACAATAATTAGTAGTATTTTCTTACATTCATATAATTGTTTTGATTTGGGGAATAGGGATAATGACCGCGGTTATTATATATATTGCATATGATGTTTTATCAAAATTGCCGCTCGCATTGCATCATTATATATCTAAGCAGTTTATTATAAGTAGTTAGTTTACTTTTTGATTCATAAAAGTCGTATAAATAGATTAAACGAACGGCTTATATAAATATTCTTGAACTGTACTTCACGGACCTGCTTTTCGTTAAGGAGTTCGGTAAATATTTAGTCTTGTGTTGAAATTTCGGCAGCAAAGCGGTCGCAGTCAAATATAAAATGCTAATTTTATTTATCTAGTCAATCACATTGGCGACATTATATGAAATTTACTTAGAAAAACATAATGCACTTATAAATTAAAAAAAAATATATATAACCAAAAATTTAAATTTAATTTTATTCATTTAAAGGGCTTTAAAGCTAATATCACAAATTTATTATTTTTCTCTTTATGATTTTATACATTGCACTTTAGTTTATATATGCATTCTTGAATGTGGGAATTCCAATTCAACTGGGAATGCCCAAGAAGGGAATGCAATAATTTTAGAATGATGAATCTAATAGGAATCCTTGGTGTGTGTGATAACCGGCTTCACAATTGATGGTTGTGTCTTTAGATTGGGTTTCTGGTTTCTACAATTTCCTTTTTGCTGATTCATAATGGAAATACTGTAAATTTTATATCATGGTGATTATGTTTCTCTAAATAGGAAATTGCGATGTCAAATAATTGACTTCTCGAAGGAGAAGTTTATGTTTTCATCAAAAAATTCGATTCGCTAATTTTATGTTTTCTCGACGTTTCAAGCCATTCTGAATCGAATGAGACCAAATTTGGAAAAAGTATGTGTGTGTGTATGTGAATAGATTTTTTGCTGTAAATCGACGTTTTCTCAAAAACGGCTGGTCTGATTTCATAAATCTAAAAGCCATTCGATGTATCTCGATAAGCACTATCATTTGCCATTTTTGCGCTACGATCTGCCGAGCCGTTTCTTAGATTTAAAATTAGACCTTTCTAAATTAGACGATTTACTTGGTATAACGATAGAGTACTTGGTCTTAATGAACATACTAAACCATTAAAGTCCTACGGAAACTGGTTCAGTTATAAAAATTGTTGATTTTTGAAAAATTGATTTTAGAGAATATTCCGAGTTAACGTGTTTGTTCTTTTCCATACTTTAATCACTCATAAATTAATTAATTTTTTATTGATTAAGTCGATTATTTACACATATCGGGAAGTTCATGTAACTTGCCACAAGGCAAAATACCAATACCAACTAGTTATTTTATTTTGTTATAAGTTTGATAAAATATTCATGATATTTACTAGCAACTTATAGAAAGTGCACTTACATGCGTGTATTAGTTTTTAAAATAAAAATAGTCTTTTTCAGCATTGCCGCTTCTAATGAAAAATCATCAGTATAAGAGAAATTTTAATAATTAATTATAACAAATATAGTTCAATTGCTGGGTTCTTTTATAAATAAAGTATTTTAAATAAGTAGATCATAGGAGTCTAAAGTTTTGATTGCTGTTCCAGAGAAAAAACCACATTCTCATTAGTACTTACAATTAGTTCTAAAAGACTTCAGGAAGTTTTTGTCAATATTGAGAACAAATTTTATATTATAATATTTCTTTTTATATTTTATATATGTTGTTTTTCCATTATTTCACTTTGTTTGCCTTTTACTTACTTTTTCTTTCATTTTTTCGTTCACTTACCAAGCACCCTTGATATACAGAATCATTCAAAGGTATAAATTTTTTCGGCATCATTATGGGAGAAAAATGCACCCTCTTTTTTGATAGAGGAGTTGCAGATGGGTTTTTCATGCATCTCGGGATTTCGTTGGATCAGGTTTACTTTACATTGTAATGATATATGACTCTCTAAGGAGTGAAAGGAAGGAATATCGTGCGTGATCAGAAAATTGATGAATTGCCTTATAGTATGTATCATGTCGATTGAAGTAATTTTTTTATTAGCCTTTTTTACTTCAAATTTAAATGCAAACCACTTGAATGATAATTTGAATAAAACCACTTGATATTATTAAAAAAAAAATCCACATTTATATGAAATAGGTAATGAATAGGTATGTATGATATATACCAGATGTTCTTTACAATATAATTTTATATAACGCAAATTTCTGAATACCGGGTATTTAACCAATTTTAATTCTATTATACAATTCTCAGGTATTTTAATTTTTAAAATTATTTGATTTCCAGGTAATCAACGTGGATGATCTTCTAGCATGCCATGAAGATTTCGTAGAAGCAACTTTAAAGAATTGTATGATCACAGACACGGCGCTTTTGAGGATTATTTCTCGATTGTGTGCAGTTTGCATCGAGTTTTGCGAATTTATGCAGGTAATAATAATAACTTATTTATTCGATTTTAAATTTGATTGATTACCTGAAAAAAATCTCTATAATGGGATGGTAAAATGATTCAGAACTTTTAGACTTTGATAAATTGAAAACCAATTTTACAAAATCTTACTTATAATTAGATACAATATTCTAGTACCCAATTGGTCATGATAGAATTATTCAAAAAAAAAAAAAATATACTTGAGATTTTATAATGAAACATAATATGAACTGGCAATATTTTGTATATTGCTAAATATTTTTTATTTCAATCAACATAGTTTACTCTATTATTTGGCTCAAATAATCTTAAAAATGTCACAATATACCGTAGATTTTTTGAGCCTAATAATAAAATAATATTAATTAATTAATATTATTTGAAGAATATTTGATAGATCATTGTCATCATATGACATAATCACAAAAATACATTACCAAAGAGTACTTCACGCTTTTCTGAGTAAATAGATGTGAGATCATTTTATGCAATTTCATTAGCACTTCTAATATAATTAGAAGCTTAAATATTTAATTACTTATTAGAACATACATTGACAATAATGGTCGATGTTTTTTTAGTCTATAAATATCTTTTTACTCTACTTCAATTTTAAATGTAGTATTACAAATAATATTAAATATTTTTCAAACAATAGCATTATACTGGGTATATATATATTAGGGTGGTCCTTAATATGGACATTTTGGAATTTCTTTGTTACAAGGCCTCAATTGTTTCCAAATTGATAAAAAAAAATCTCTAATAGTTTTAGCTCCTAATATTAACTTTTAGATAGTGCGCAATTCAATCAAAGTTTTGTATGGAATTAGCATGGCAAAAAATTCAAAAAAATTTAAAATGTTTTCACATATAACTTAGCGAACAAATAAATGAGTTTTATTGAAAATTCGACGCTCTACAAAACAAAATATAAGAAACCTGTTTTGCAGAGCGTGAAATGACACGAATTGCCACTTTTAATTCACTTGTCGCTAATAAGTTATACCTAAAAAACATTTTTAAAATTTTCAAAATTTTTCCCATGCTAATTCCATACGAAATTTTGATTGAATTGCGCACTATCTAAAAATTAATATTAAAATCTAAACTTTTAGAGATTTTTTTTATCAATTAGGAAGTATTTTGGGCCCCTGGGAGCAAGAAAATTCAAAGATGTCCATATTAAGGACCACCCTAATATACATCTACAATTTATATTATAAATCACTTTCATCCAATATGCCAAATTATATTTTTATTTTTATAAATTTTAAAGGAGCAATGTGCTTACGTTGCTTTATGTACATCAAGCATTTTGGTCACAATTTTGCAGCTATATTAATTATATAAATATTATATTTATATAAAAATATTATATTTATATTTTGTATTTTATGAGGCACTTTTGCGTTCCCAGGTAAGTTTTGAATGTAGACTGATATTTTAATAATTTTGCCTACCGAAATGATTACTATATGAGGTCTGTACCTTATACCTTACCATTTACATGGTGGTGCCGATTTTGAACGATTTTCGATTTTTTTTTACTTTTCGTGGATATGGATGTGTAAACGATTTTGTGTCTATTATTTTCGATATGGGGTTGATTTAATAATGATGCAGGAAATGCGCCAGTATTATGTGGATGCAGAATTGACTTCAATGTTGACCACCTCTGTTTGCTCGATGTCCGACAGTATCACCGACAATTCAATGTGCTCCTCTACAGGGTACTTTAGTACCCTAAATAAGGTATCCGTAGCACGGATAGGAGCATATGCACGAGATTTTTTTTTGTTATAGCCAAAATTACCTGGACTAATAAAAATGGAAAATTTGAATACTACATAATACTCAGAAAATGATTCATAATTGTAATAATAATTTCCTATTTGTTATTACTCGTATGGGTAATTATTTCGACGAAATTTGAAATTTTGAAAAATATATTTTTTTATAAGTTAATATAATTATTTGCATTTGTATCAAAGACTGTCTGATAAATTCTGCTTATTAAAAAAATCATTTTTTATAGTCTGGGTGATAATCTCGCTCGTCACGTGCTGGCTTGAAAAATGCACGGTTGTCATTTTGTCGCTAATTTTTATCATTTTTTTTTATTTTTGCAGATATCTGGATGTTGTTTTAATTTTGATTAACATGCACATTTTTGTCATAATTTTATATAAATTAATTCAAAAATTATATAAAATAATTCACCATTTGGCTTGTTTCCAGCTTTGTTTTTTCACTTAACCATATTATACACTTCTATCGTTTAATTTCGAGTCAAGAGAAGATATGAGAAATTTATTGAAATTTTTGAATTTCTTGATTTGTTTTTTACTAAACCATATTATACACTTATAACGTTTAATTATGAGTCAAGAATAGATAATGCGATAATTATTGAAAATTTTGAATTTGTTGCTTTTGTTTTTTACTTAACCTTAATAGATAATGAGAAATTTATTAAAAATTTTGAATTTGTTGGCTTTGTTTTTTACTTAACCATATTATACACTTCTATCATTTAATTACGGGTCAAAAATAGATAATGCGAAAATTATTGAAAATTTTGAATTTGTTGGCTTTGTTTTCTACTTAACCATATTATACACTTCTATCGTTTAATTTCGAGTCAAGAATAGATAATGAGAAATTTATTGAAAATTTTGAATTTTGAATTTTGATTGCAAGTCATTGACATTTAATTAAACATGCTAGACTTTTAATATAAATCCTGAAAAAAAATTAATAGTAATAGTAGTAAAACAACAAATATTTTGGTGTCAATAGAAAACAAAAAAAAAGCGAAATGTGAATTTGTCGAGACTTAATTTTCTCAAATACCAAAATTCCAAATCTTGTTGAATTTCTAAAGAAAATAATGTTACTATAATTACAAGATTTTATTACGATTTTTTGCTAATCGTGCTGCTATATATAGTTAATAAAACACCGATATAGTTGTTAAATATATTTAACAATTATAGCAGTGTTCTATTAACTAGTTTGCTGGTAAATATATCTAATTACCCATGATTTTATTATATACTCCAGAAAATAATATTTTATTCTTTCATAAAGTTTGGGCTAAATACGGGAAACTATTAATATTTCATGAAAACAAAAATATTTTGCCTTCTATTATCACGTTTCTATAGAGCTAAAGTTGATAGAAAGCATTTGTACTTATCAATAATTCAAAACCAACGCTTTCATTTCTGAAATCACGACATATTATTGTTTTATGGCCTCAAATCAATATTTGCTCATTCATAATTAGGGTCATATTATTTTTTAACGCAAATTTCAGTTGTATTTTCATTAAATCAAATTGTCATATAGTTTAACATTTTAGAATATGTAGAATTTTTTTATTAATTTTTTAGCACAATTTTTTGTTGGTACGTTTTACTATTTAGTAATTAATCCAAAAGATACATTTATAAAAAAACTAATTAAAAACGTTAATTTTAATTTAATAATAATTAGTTTTATTTGTTTCACTGAAAAATATTTTGAAAGTTAACCATTTCTTTGTGGAAATATATATAACTGCATAAAACATTCATTATTAATTGCAGTTGATGATTATTATATTTACTTTTTAATCATGAGGTAAGTATTATAGATTTGGATGTGTAATAAAATTTAAAATACCTAATTGTTTGTATAAAATCACTCTAAATGTATATAGGTATCCGTGTTCCCGCATTTTTTTTATTTTATTTATACTAATGCACATTTTCCAAAAATTTCATTGTTTAGCTTACGTGCATATATGTAGGTACATATGGATTCATTTAACAAAAACAATATTTGCAATATGTTTTACCTCTCGACTCATATAGATATGTCACTAATTAAGTCATTCACTTTTCATCAATCTTGCTCGTAAATTACTAGTAATTAGTAGTAAAATACAAGTATGTTTTATATTTTTAGTCTACAGCGAAGACGATGGAGAAATCTTTGGACAATACAGTCAGCTTTTCGGACAGCATAGCAATTATGGATAAAAGATTTACCATTATTTTGATGTCGATGTTCGATAAAATTAATGATAACAATGCTTCCACCAGTGGTGCCGATAAATTAATGAACATTGTGAACAGGTACGTGAAATTAATAATTAAAGAAGAAATCAATATTTAATATTTTTGCCAGATATAAAATGTTTTCCTCCCCTGTAATATTTAGCACAATAAGTATTTCAATTCGCATTCGTATAAAGAACAGTTAGTAGGTACAGACGATTATTTTGTACATAATAATTCCTAATCGCGCAGGTAAGCACCTGCCTTTATACAATAAAAGGATTGCGGTATGATCTAATAGGTTATAAAAGTATGTCTAGGAAAAGATTCGTCATGATGGTTTTATAAATTTAGTAGGAAAATGTAATTTGCAAAAATATTCCTCTTAGCCGTGAATCATCTACAGGGGTTGAAATGGATAGAGGAAATATATATATATATATATATATATATATATATATATATATATTTTCTTTATTACAATATTAATTACAACTGTTAAATAATTTAACATCTAGTAGTAATAATGAACAATAACAAAAATTTAAATAAAAAGAAAACAAAATAAAGGATAGTATTTACATTAAAATGATATCCGTAGTATGATGATTTAATATAAAATAAAAGCAAATAATAATAATAATAAAATCATAAGTAAAATAAATAAAATTTCTGAATAATAAAAATAATACTAGAAAAACAATAAGATCAAATAAAAACAATAAGTGACAGATAATTATAAATATAACAAAATAACAATATTAGAAATAATAAGATAATAATATAATAATAATAATAATAATAATAATAATAATTATTATTATTATTATTATAAGCGTGTACTGATGAGATCATTGGGATTTTTTTTCTGGCAAAATATAACTTTTGATTCTGATTATGGTCATTATATTCATTAAAATGTTTTTTAACGAATATTGAAACCAAATTTATATATACATTTAAATATATAATACAATATTTAGTACATATCCCCCAATCATTCTAGTTTAATCTTATTATTGATTATGAAACATATCAAATGATAATAGATATCTTTATAGGCATTTTATTGTTGTTATATTAAAATCATGAGGCATTGTTTAAATTTTATAAATATTTTAGTAATGGAGTATTTGTTTAAACTAAATCAAAGAAGTTTATATATTTTAATTTGATATCATCATTCATTTAAAATGGATATCTGATTTTATAAAACTTGTTTTTGGTATTTGAAATTAATAATAATTATTGGGATATATATATATATATATATATATATATATAAATGTGTGTATATTTATATAAGTAAATAATTATGATACAATAATCATAATTTGATATAGTTGACTATTTAGCATATATTTATATACATTTCATTGTTGGCTTTGTTTACAGCTGATAACTATTTTGATCATGTAATAACTGTAAATTTATTAAAAAAAACAAACATTTAAATTTGATGTATCTATCTATTTCCACTGTTTTGCAGATATCTATTTGCAATGAACACAAAACAAAAAGATGTTTTTATAAAACTCGCAAAAGATGTTTTTATAATACGTAATACATTGACCAGACTGTGTTTATTAACTGTATATGAGCAGACCATAAATATTAGTAGTTAGAAGACAAAATATAGTAAATTTGATTTTATTTTTTTTCAGATTTCATTCCAATTCATATTACAGTGAACAACGAGAAAAAATGTATGCTGGATTTTTGGATACAGCTTCAGAATCTTCCATTTCCAATGGTAAAAGTGTGCCAAAACCCGAGCAGACTGTCAAATAAAAAAATATTAGTTTTAAAACATTTTAACATTTTTCAAGATATATCAAAATAATTGTTAGCCTAATAAAGCGTTGCCATAATATATAAGTTGCCATAATGTTGGAAGTGCTTGTTAATGTCATGTTATTAAAAATCACTATTTATTATATCCGTTATTTATTATCCATTTTTATCACGTTTGGTTGAAAATTAGATAATATTTGTTAGCATATATAATATTAAATTTGAATATTTCGTGTTAATTTAACAAAAATAAATTATGAAACTGACAAATGCATTTTTTTTCAAAACCATAAAATATAGTTGCTAATTTTTATTATTTTCAGCATTTAATAAAAGTTATATAATTATCTAAATTATTCATACAACATCTTGTGTATATACAGTTAGATAGTAATTTATTGCTATCAAATATATAACATATTATATTGGATATATTATTAATTAGGTTTATTACCTAATTAATACCTAATTAATATTTATTAACTTCATTAATGCAATTTTTTGTCTCATATGTATTATTTGAGGGTCAGACTTGCATATTAATTAATTAACAATAGTTAATTAGATAAGTTTAATTTCAATTGTTATAAATAAAACATTAAATCAATATATAATATTTATAAACAAAATTATATTCAAATAGAAAATAATACTGGTCAACGTATTTTTCTTAAAAATGTAATATTGCTTGAATAATTAACTAATTATTAACAAATCTCGGTTCAAATTATAAATTATATCGGCTCAATTAAGAAATAATATTTATAAAATTATATTACCAAATAAGAAAAATATTCGTGATCATACCTTTAATAGAAGTATGCTATCGTTTGACAAATTAATTAAACCATTAACATATCTTGAAAATGAATTATAACGGATCAAATTAATAAATATTATTAATGGAATTTTATGAAATAAGAAAAATATTCGTCAACGAACTTTTGATATAAGTAATATTGTTTGACAAATTAATTAAACCATTAACATATCTTGAAAATTCTTTCATCAGTTTAATTACATAAAAAAATTAAATTTTTGATTCTAGTGATTTTTGTAATTGCATACAAAATACAAATGTAAACAACTTTCATATTTCCAATAAAATATTTCTATAAAAATAATTTGCTGATGTAATAAATAATTGGTATGTAATAATATTAATTTAAAGTATGCAGTTAGCTTCGGATACAATAAGAATACATCAGATAATTGTAAAATTAGAATTTAAATTATTATTTGTGAATGGCTAATTTATGAATATGAGGCAAAATAAATTTATATCAAAAAATATACATAACTATTTATAATATTTGTGAGTAAAATAAATAAATACAAATTATTTCCTTGATACATACGAAGCAACTCCAAATATTTCTTCAACCTAGGTGAAACTCGATTCCCATCTATATTAATATTAAAATTAAATAATTTTAACTGAAGAACGACTTGTAAATGTAAATATCTTCCCTCTCTTTTACCTGACCTTAACAGCCGACCCAAACCGAACCTCGCCGAGCGGCCCTTGCAAGGGTTTAAAAGGCGACCCATCCTCTGCCAAAAATCATTGTTAGTTCAAGCTTTGCCGAATTGTAATATCACTCCTTATATAAAATTGTTATTAAGTGCTCTTTTTCTCAAGTGCAGTTAAAATACTTGTGATACAAAATGGGTAAGGAAAAGATCCATATCAACATCGTCGTCATCGGCCACGTAGATTCTGGAAAATCGACTACTACTGGACATTTGATCTACAAATGCGGCGGTATCGATAAGAGAGCTATTGAAAAATTCGAGAAGGAAGCCCAGGAAATGGGAAAAGGCTCCTTCAAATATGCGTGGGTTTTGGATAAATTGAAGGCTGAGCGCGAACGTGGTATTACAATCGACATTGCTTTGTGGAAGTTCGAAACTGCCAAGTATTATGTTACCATCATCGATGCTCCCGGACATCGTGATTTCATTAAAAACATGATCACTGGTAAGTAATAATAATACATTGAAATACATTTTTGGCATTAGCATTTGATATGAATCAATTTACGAGACCATATTACGTAATTTTGTTGCGTGGGTGCACGTGGTCGCGCTTATTTACATTCAAAAATTTTGTCTATACAATGCTTATTTATAATTAAATAATATTATAATTTAATATACTATATATTAAAGTAATTTTTCCATTACAGGAACATCTCAAGCCGATTGCGCCGTACTCATCGTAGCCGCCGGTACCGGTGAGTTCGAAGCCGGTATCTCGAAGAACGGCCAAACCCGTGAACATGCGTTATTGGCGTTCACCTTGGGTGTAAAACAATTAATTGTTGGCGTCAACAAGATGGACTCTACTGAACCACCTTACAGCGAATCTCGATTTGAAGAAATCAAGAAAGAAGTATGCTCGTACATCAAGAAGATCGGTTATAATCCAAATACTGTTGCGTTTGTACCAATTTCTGGATGGCACGGGGACAACATGTTGGAACCATCCACCAAGATGCCATGGTTCAAGGTAATAAAATGAATAATTGAATTATATATTTAATTTTTATGCGCATTAGATATTTGATTTTTAATGAATTTCTCTTTTTATAGGGATGGCACATTGACCGCAAAGAAGGCAAGGTTGATGGCAAGTGCTTGATTGAAGCCTTAGATGCTATCTTACCACCCTCAAGACCAACAGACAAGCCACTCCGTCTTCCTTTGCAAGATGTATACAAGATCGGCGGTATTGGAACAGTCCCAGTAGGACGTGTCGAAACCGGCATTCTCAAACCAGGTAAATATTCATTTAATAAACCTTATTTTTAATTTGTGTTAAATTAACGTTAATAATGTTAATATTATTTCCAAAGGTACTGTAGTAGTTTTCGCACCAGCTAACATAACTACTGAAGTAAAATCCGTCGAAATGCATCACGAAGCCCTAACTGAAGCCGTACCCGGAGACAACGTTGGCTTCAACGTTAAGAACGTCTCCGTCAAGGAATTAAGACGTGGTTATGTTGCCGGAGACTCCAAAGCCAATCCACCAAAGGGAGCTGCAGACTTTACTGCTCAGGTAAATAAAAAAACTCTACATTATTATAACAAATATTTTAATTTCGATGTATTTATATTCATGTATTTTTTCCCTCAGGTTATCGTTTTGAACCATCCAGGTCAAATTTCAAACGGTTATACTCCAGTATTGGATTGCCACACCGCTCACATCGCCTGCAAATTCGCTGAAATTAAACAGAAGGTCGACAGACGTACTGGTAAAGCTACTGAAGAAAACCCCAAATCCATCAAGTCCGGGGATGCTGCAATCGTTAACTTGATTCCATCCAAGCCTATGTGCGTGGAATCATTCCAAGTAAGTAAAATTCAACATTACGACAAATGTGATACATATATATTTTATATATGTACTATAATTTGATTTTTTCTTTAGGAATTTCCTCCCTTGGGTCGTTTTGCAGTCCGCGACATGAGACAAACCGTTGCTGTGGGAGTAATTAAAAGCGTTGTGCACAAGGAAGCAACTGCCGGCAAAGTTACAAAAGCCGCAGAAAAAGCCACCAAAGCCAAGAAGTAATTTCTTTAAAATTTATTATGAAGATAATTTTAAGTTTAATTTTAATGAGAATTCTTAAATTATTTTTGTAAAACAATTATATTAATTACTCTTACAATTGCAGAATGGTTGTGAGCCTTTATATGGTAACTTTTAGAAAGTATTTTTTGTGATTTTAGAAGTGTATATATTTTGTAAATAAAAATTTAAATAATAATTTTGATTGTATACTTCAAATCAAAACTTTATTACAGAATTTTGCATTTTTACAGGGATAAAACTTTGATAATTAATACTGATATATCTATTTTCAAATCTTAAACTAAAATCTAAATTAAATATATTTCAAAGTATAAAATATTAACAATAATTATAATGTATGTCCTTTAATTTTAACATTGATTAAAAATTTATTTATTTAAACATTAATTAAATTATATAAGTATTAACAATTGTTTATTAAATCAGAATGTAAAATTAAACTTCTCTTTAGTTATTAAATTATCTATACATCATTACATCAGGACTTTGGTACATGCACATATAGGCATCGCACATTAATCTCTTAGCATGTTCAGGTAATTGCTTGTCGTTAGGGTACTGCTCGTGCAGCATACGTGCCCCTTCATCAGATAACCATTCCGGCAAATCCGGGACACTCACCATCTCAGGTATATTGTAGCCATTTTGCTCACCTGATTATTTATAATCAATTTGAATATAGTTATTATTTTATTTTCTTGAAGTAGGAGAAGCAAACAGTTACCTTTTCGGTCAGCCATCGAGTCAAAAAAGCACCAAGGCACATTGTGGCCAGACCCGGCTTTCACAAATGTCACATAATGAGATGTTTCAATACAAACTACTGCAAATAATTCCATATATAGTCTAGGAACCGGACAATGTTCAGCCATTATGGAAAAATCTATTGGAACTGACAAGAGCTTGGCCTAAAAAAGGTAAGATGCTCTTATATTTAACATAATTTTACTGATTATTAATTTTTTGTGATAAATACAAAGGCAATGATAAATAAATAAAATTTATTAAAAACATTAGAATAGCTATGAACGTTTACTTTATGATTTGCCCTCTTGGCATGGGAATGTACAGTATCGAGACAGGGTTTGCAAAATGCAGTACTTTCCAACCCCATTCCACATTGTCCAAAGCAATCTTTGCATTCATAATGCGCAAGTTTTCCACACACTGTACACTGTCGAGGTGCTGTTTCATGTATCGAAAACAAAAATATTAATTAAATCACAAATTACCAGAAAATATCATTACTTAATTAAGTAACTCACAATCTTCTATTATATCTGTTACGTCTAGCAATTGTGAAGGTAATATTCTAGGATACATTTTATACGATTTACCAAACCTCGGCATTTGTATTATTAAGCAAGATGGCACTTGTTTCAATTTAATATCAGATGTGAGAAAGCTCTGTTCAAATAACTGCTGTACTGATGGTAGCAAGAGTCTTTCATCCTTTTCTACAAACAACTGATAATAAAATGCTTCTTGTCCAGAATTCAGTTTTAAAAATGGATCGGCATTCAAAATTTGTGATAGTAAGCAATTTAAAAATTCTTCAGGATCCTAAGATGCAAGAATGATATTATTTTTTGGTTTTATGAAGTTGATTAATACAAATGTGCTACCTTTTCTTCACATGTTAGGCCAGTAACGGATGATAATTTCTCTAATAATTTTCTTAATTTCATAACTTTATCAGCCCGCACAAATAAATTTTTTCGTAAAGGATTTACAATTTCTTCACGTAAAACTGTTTGTACTTCTTCATAGTGATCAGAGTCCTGTGACAATTATAACTTTATGCAATTGCAATTTAAAGCATTTATAAAATAAAATAGTATTAAACTTCAAAAATTCACCTGATGTCCTTTAGGCCGAAATAACAAAGAATCAAATACACTTGTGAATGTAAACATTGAAAAAAGTGTTGCATCTAAATAACAGGAATTGTGATGTCCTTGTATGCCTTTGAATTTTCCACATACAGATTCTAAATCTGAAGTTTTGCTCAAAGGTGCTATAGATCCTGGCACCGCAAGACACTCAACCTATTAATAAATACATTTTTGCTTGAAAAAGCATTCTGAATTAAATTTGAATAACAAAGAAATATAAATTACATTTCCAAAGAGTCGAGAATCAAGATCTTCAAAAGTTCTTGAATGCCCAGGCTGAAGAGATCGTTTTTGATCGACAAACCTTTCATCTGGTTGACATTGTTCAAAAGGGATAAATAAAGCTCGGTTAGTGGGGCAATCAAACATCTTTTTTCCACAATAAACACCATTAGATAATGTCAATGGTAAATGAGGATGCTCCTCTTCTAATTCAACACCTGCTATTATATTTTGAGAATTTTCTACGAACAAATTGTTTATAATTAGCATGAAATTAGTATTGAAACAGTAAATGTAAAAGAAAATTACCAGAACTTTTTCCAAGCCATTTTAAAACACCATAGAGTGGTTCTGATATATCCGTAATTACTTGGATCATTGACCCAATACCAAGATCCGAGCCTTCGATTGCAAAAACGCTTTCATATTTTATTTGGGAATTATTGCACTGTGTATTAACACTTGTTGATGTTCTGGGCAAATAATCTTCCAAACCTAAGTATATTAGACACATATTACAATAGATAATATAAATTATAAATCGCATGACGTCACCAACAAACTTTGCTTTAAATTAAATTTTTATTTTTATTTTATACACTAACCATTTTGTGACGGATAATCAAAACTATTATTCCAATATTCTAAAATAGTTACAGGTATATTACTTAAAGACACAACATCATCATAATCCATATTTGCATTAACGTAATCCATCATTATAATATAAAAACCAATTAATGATTTATCATAATTAATAAATATAATTTTAAATTAAATATGTATTAGTAACAGTGAAAACATGTCCTTGTTACAATTAATTGACATTTTTATGTATCACTTTAGGAGCTGAACTATGTCTGAAGCTATTAATAGAAAATTTAAAAATAACTTGAAGGAAGATAGGAATAGTCTAATAATAGCTTCTGTAGCACATTTATGATTTTGAATGTTTCAATCAAAATTTTATTATAATTAAAATAGATTAAATAAAATAAAATTATAATTGAATAAAATAAAACGTGTGTGTTAGTGAATATTAGATAAAAATGTTGATTTAATAAAATAATTCAAATAAACTAAATTATAATATACTGTATGCATTTATATTTATTTTCAATTTATATTTTTAAAACATATAATATATACATTATATAGTGTACCTGATGGATTGGTCAAATCTGTTTTTTGTTCTTTATTATTTTTAAGAGAGCTTGTATTATCATTAAGTTTATTTACAATAATGTGACTTTCAGTTTTGAAATTATGATTTCTTGGTTGTTCACTAAACTTCCTTTCGCTTATTAAGTGAGAAATAGGATTCATTGACTTATTTCTTTCGGAGTTTAAACTATACCTATTTTGTGTATGTTTCAATCGGTGATTGATTTCATATTTTTTATAATCTTGTTTACTTATAGTATCTTTATTGTAATTATAATCTGAATTTAAAATATTAGTTAAACTATCACCAGCTTGAACAGGCCAATCTCGACCTAATAGTTCTATCAAGTCTACTTCTTCTTTAGAACCTATTGTATCATTAACTGAATTTCTAATTTCATCATCAACATTCAGTCCTAATAAATTGGTATCATTAGTGTTTGAACTATTATAATTAGGTTTATGATAGTTGGTGTCAACATTTAATTGTGATGTATTAATTGAATTATTTGATGCGCAATCATTGGGTGTTGGAATGTATTGAGAACTACTTGCATGGTTTCTACTATATCTTTCCATGGTAGAAACTATATCTTCATTATTTGAATATTTTGGTTTATCCATTATATTATCCGTGGGAATTTTTTTCAGTTGTAGAGATAGAAGTAAAGTTGCTTTATTCTCATTAGGTGAGGGTAAGTCATTGATTGCCATTTGCGTTAATATAGGTATATTATGCTTTTTATAGTATTTTCAGACCCAGATTTATATATTTGCTAGTATCTTATCATTTGCATACATATTCTTGTTAATCTGATGATTCACTATGATACAACCTTTAGGCAATATGGAATCTGTACTAAAACTAGTAAATAAACTTCTTCTAAAATAAAATTTACAATATATTTAATAAATATTGTTAATTATAAAATATTTTAACATTATTGAAAGTAACTAGTTTTCATCTATTCTATTCTTATTTTTTATGACAGTTCTTGTCAAACTATTAAGTACAAGTGGCTGTCATCAGCTGTCACTTCATTGCCAACATAAGATTTGACATTTTGCGAACTGTCAAAAGTCTTGGAATATTATCCATTATGTTTATTTATCTATGATATTATCGAAAGACATATCTAAAAATTAAATATAATATAAATATAATTAAGGACCTTCTTTTTAATAAAAAAAACTTTAAATATTTTTATGACTATTGGTTGTTGATCTAGGGAATATTGATAGAAGTTGAGAAATCTATTTAACCTATAAGTTGTACATTATGACGACATTCATATACCAATGAATTTATATATTTAAACTTTATCTTATTAATAAATCAAGTGTTTCAAAAGTTATTTTGTTCATATCTTTATAATTTGTGTTCAAGATTTCATATTTTGAGTAAGTTTTAGTCCAGAATGTCTGAACGAAAAGTATTAAATGTGAGTACTATGCCAATTTTATAGTGTTAATCCTTTATATATCAAAACTAATTTATTAAATTTAAATTATAGAAATATTATCCACCGGATTTCGATCCTTCAAAAATCCCTCGGTTGAAGCAAGCTCGCAACAGACAATATACAGTCCGTATGATGGCCCCTTTCAATATGCGATGTGTTACCTGTGGAGAATACATTTACAAAGGAAAAAAATTCAATGCACGGAAAGAAGATGTTGAAAATGAAGATTATTTGGGCATCAGGATCTACAGATTCTATATTAAGGTACTTTTATCAATGATTTACGAACTTTCTACATGCTTCTACATAGTTTTAATTTATAATCTGATTCTCAGTGCACCAGATGCTTGCAAGAAATATCATTTAAAACCGACCCCAGGAATACAGACTATGAAATTGAAGCTGGTGCCACTAGAAACTTTATGGCATTAAAAAGAGCAGAGGAGCAAGCTGAACGAGAATTACAAGAAATTAAAGATGAAGAAGCGAATAATCCCATGAAACAATTAGGTATGCTGATATAAAAAGCTCTTTATTTAAATAAATTAACTTTTGACAAACTACACTAAATTTTGGTTATTTATTCTGTAAGACATTTGCCATTAGTCTGCTAAAACATATATTAGTGTAATTATATATTATATATTTTCAGAGAATAGAACTCAACAATCTCGGAATGAAATTGAATTGCTTGAATCATTAGAAGAATTACGTGACTTAAACCGTAGACAACAAGCAGTTGATTATGACAGTATGCTTAAACAGTATAATACACAAGAGACAGCACGAGAACGAGAAGAACGCTTACAAAGAGAAGATGAAGAATACATCAAGTAATAATTGTTTGTTTTACTTGTGATAAACATCATATTTAATATATAAATATTTTTAAATATTATTTATTTGTCTTTGCTTTTCAATAACAATTATATTTTTTCAAAAATATTGCACTTATAATATTTTATATGCGATTAAAAATATTTATTTGTATTTACTTTTAGGTCAGTAAATTTTGGATCAAACAAAGTTATTATTGCTGAAGAAATCATTGAAGAAGATAATACAGAAAGTTCTCAAAAAGGTCTTGATTTGCTGAAAGATAACGCGAATGGAAAGCAATTGACTAAAGCTACTTCTAATAGCAACAATTCCTGGAATAAAAGCATTGGTGTAAGTAAGAAGTCAATTTTAGGAGGTTTAGTTAAAACTAAATTACCAACCCCTAAGCCTGAAATAGAGGAAAAAGTCAATCCTAGCAAGACAATCCAATCAGAAGTTAAATCTAATGCATTGTCGTTGCTAGGTGCTTATACTGACAGTGAAAACGAAGATTCAAGCTAAAATGAAAATGGAATTAAATAATAACAAATTTTTACGATTTTTAAATATTATTATAAATCATACATATTAAAAATACATAGAAATTTGTTCTACTAAAAAAAGTATAAAAATATACAAAAATATGTACAAAATGTGAATTTTTAACTGTTTATTGTAACTTGTTTATTTATTCATGTGATCCATTCGTTAAGATGATTCATAAAAATGGAAATCTCCTGAAAGCAAATATAATTGTATGTTAATAATTGATCAAATAATGAAAACTACCAATTTAGGTAAATCAGTGCATGAAATAGTCGGTGTAGCAGATTTATGGAAATATCAAACATCAGGAGATTTCTGAAAGAATCATCAAAAGAATGTATATCACCAAGTAACTTTTTCATAATACTACAACATAAAAAATTTAGCTTATATTAAACAAATAGAGACAACACTCTTCTCTACACCGAATATTTCCGCACCGCGATAATTTTCGGGTTACGTTTACGAGAAATTTGTAAATGTATTGAGTTTTGCCTATTATTTGGTGAATCTTGTTCAGGTATCATTACATCTTCATTATAAGTAGAAGAAACATTTTCATTGTCTTGATTTTCTTCGGAGTGAAAAAAACTAGAAAGAGGAATTCTGGTTACAGAATACACTTTAGTATGCGTGTTTGTGGCTTGTTTATTGGAAGGTTGTAGTATCTGCGAAAAGGTAGTTTGAGTGGATTTTGTATTTTTCCGTGTTGTTTTGAAACTTGCTGCAGGTAAACGATATGAAGGGTACTGATTATTTCTTTTCGGTGTTAATCGAGAAAAGTATTGTTTCGCAAATGGTACATTTGCGTTGTACGCTTTTTCGTACTGCAAAAAACGCATTTGTGCAAGTCTGTTCTGCGTTTGACCTAAAATAGCATCTCCACCGCCGGGCATCGTGCTGTCTCTAGAATCCCGATTCTGGTGAAACATTCCATTCAACGGATTCGGGCGGAAAATTGGCGTTTGCCGAACAGGTATCTGATCGTTAACAGAGACTCTAACATCAGCTTGAATGGAACTATTCTGCGGCATACCGCTATTATTCTGCCTAACGCATTGAGGAATGCGTGCAGATACTTCTAGAGTCGGGTGATGAACTTCCGACTGTTGCATTGGAAAAGAGTATGCAGGATTACCATGATCCCCTATCGTACGACATCGATCAAAATTCGAACCTCCAAGAAATGACCGTTGTTCGAGGATCGGCTCACTGGCTCGCAAGAGTTCAGGGATGAGACTATTGAAAGGAGGATTGAAAGATTCTAACCTGTGTTGTCTGCCGCTCTCCGTAGTTTTTGTGTTAGCCTTTGACTTATAATCAGCTAACTCGGTTTCCATGATCGCAATTCGTTCTTCGTAACGGGTACGCTGAGCTTGTCCACGCATTTGCTGCTCTTCCAGTGATTTTACTATTTTCTCGAGTCTCGCCACCTGCACTTGTTTCATCTCCAAGGTCGAGAACAGCATATGCAATTCTTCCGCCTTGCCAGTTATCTCCTTCTGTACCTATAGAGCATAATCATTTAGTAGAACTGCGAATATTGTTAATTAGAAATAAAATTTAAAACTAGTGGGGAGCATGGCATCGTGACTTAAGGCAAATTGCTGAAACTTCCCGTAACGAAAATTAAATTTAAAAATGAAGATAAAATATGTTTTTTTTTTTTAAAAAAACTTCTTTGGAAAAAAAACTTTTGGAAAAAATTGTTTTTTTTTTGAGTTTGAAATATTTTGGAAATTTTGAACTTTTTTTAAAAGCAAATCCCACTGCTTAGTTGCATATCGATATAACTTCTGAAGCCTCTGATTTTTTGCGATTACTATAACTTGCCCTACGAGAAGTAATAAAATATTCGAGAAATTTTAAACGTTTTCAAATATATTATCACAAATACTGTAACTTTCATTATTTTTGCCATCTTGTTATATCTGAGAATGAGCAAATCAAATGTAAATCATAAATAAATCAATTTATCTCCAGAACATTAACAATCGTCATTTTATTTCGAATTTAATTTAAAAAAATAGTTGCCTCCAAAATTACACAAAATTGAAAAAGTACTCCAGTATAGTCACAGTCTAAACGCACTTGCAAATAATCCTGTGCGACATTTTCACTTATACAGTCTAAACGTACTTGTGTAAACATTTGTACCAGAGAAGCTCTTAGACTGTGCTTAGCCTGGGTGATTTTTTGAATTTTTAATCCAAAATTACAAAAAATATTTTTCGAAAAAAAAATTAGAAACAAAAATTTTATTTTGCAAAAGCAATTATTTTGTTGAAACAAGCAGAAAGCTCTTTGAATCATTTAAATTGGACGCTTAGTTCTCTCAAAAACTGCCATTTTTTTAACATTTAGCTCTGTATCTCCGAAACCGCTTGCCAAAAACTAATAATCACTTTCCCCCTACGAACTGAATCTTTTTTGAATCATACAAATCGGATGATCCGTTCTCTCAAAAACTCGAATTCTATTTTCTGCACTCTTTGCTCCATATCTCCGTAACGGCTGGACCTACCTTTGCCAAAAACTAATCAGCACATCTCCCTATTAATAGGAATCGAATGTTTTTTAAACCATTCAAATCGGTTGATCCATGCGCCCGAAAACCTGGACAAAAAAATGCGGACATACAAAACACACACACACACTCACACACACACATACTCACACACACACACACTCACACTCACACACACACACATCCATTTTTTCTGAAAATGAGGTATGCCAAAATGTTCAGAAACCTTCAAAACGTCGAGAAATGCAAAAATTATCATTTTCGATTTTCGGCCCATTACTATAACTACCCTACGGGAAGTTAATAAGTACCAATTCCACTTTCTCGTCATAGTCCTCGCGCATACGCTGAATGCTCTTCTTGGTCTCGGCTTCGTTCTCTTTCAGTAGTGCAATTAGCTCGTCTCGAACCTTGAGAACCTGCGCCTGTTCTCGCAGAGATCTTTCTTTGCATTCTATATCACTATTCTTGCGCCTGAGCTCCTTTTCTAATTCTTCAGCTCGAAGTCTCCATTCGTCTAGAGACACCTGCATGCCCATAATCTAAAATTGAATATCAGAGAAGTGCTTCTTGACTAAATAAATCAAAGAATTAAGTGATACCTCATCCTGCATTTCGGCATTATGCTGTTGTATTACAGCTCCTTTTTCTTGCCTGTTTAAACGTGCTTCAAGGTGTGAAATTTTTTTCATGTATTTAACAGCATTGTTATTTCTAAACATAAAAAATAATAGACGATAAATATGTCACATTTTCTTATTTAAGGGGCACAACTAGTGTGAAATTTTCAAAAAATCGAATTTTCAATTTTTCCATATTTTGATAGGTTATTATACCTTTAAAAATAACATACCAAAATATTAAATCGATATCTTAAATAGTTTTTGAGTTAGAGCCATTTAAAGAGTATATATATAGTACATAGTATAAGGATCATTTTATCTTTAAACGCGTTTTTCTCGAAACAGCATTTTTAGAATTTGCTCCAGCAATTACTCAAAAACAAATGATCCGATCACTATCAAATTTTTTTTACATGTTCTATATATAGTTCTCCGTAAAATGAACTATCGATTTTTTGATCGGATAAAAAATCGAATTTTGGCAGTCCAAAAACGACCAAAATTTTGGGTAAAATTCGACTTTTTTTTAAAAAACGCCGTCATTTTGTCAATTTTTGATTTTTTTTTATCGTAGTTCATTTTACAGACAATATTATCTAGTTCAACGAGATTTTTTTTTTTTTAAATTTCATCCACGTAGAAGGCCGGAATCACTGCAGCAGTGAAGGGCCTTTTTTTTGTCGCGCCTTTGGAGATCGACGTTAACTTGAAAATATATTTTTTTTCTTCAAAAATTTTACTATGAATTCTTAAAACATGTATAAATATATTCCTAAAATTTTGAAATGATTGATAAAGTAGTTTTTTTAATATAAATTCCCAAAAATTACCTTTTTTAGGCGGTTACACTAGTTGTGTCCCTTTTAATTTTATTAGAAATACTTACAAGTCGTCTGTTTCTGATTCCATGCTGTTTAATTTTTCCTTTAAATCAATGATTTGTATATCCCTGGCCATGATCTCCCTAGTATATTCTTCTTTCGTAATCATTTCACTCATACTGCTTTGCAACGTTTCCTGTTAGTAAAATGAATTATTATTAAATTGAAACATCAGTTTTTGCTGATATTGATAAAGTATATAATTACCAGTTCACTAGCAGATCGTTCGTTAGTAATTTTCAATTCGTTGTTTTCTGCTTTTAATTGTTTGAGAGTTAGACGCATGCCTTCTAATTCGGTCCATTGAAATTGTTCAGCTATATAAAAGTAAATTTGGGTATTGTAATAATATTTTTGAATTGTTAATCAAATACTTACTTTCCATTACTTTTTTTGCGTTTTCTTCTAAAGATAAAGCAATTAGTCGACTGTTTTCTTCTAATTTATACATTTGAGTATTCGCTTTATGCATTTCTTCTTCGGCGATTTTACGCAATCGGATTTGCTCATTAAGTTTTTCGGTCATCTCTTTGAATTTAGAACTCTGTTCTATGCTTTTTTCAGAGTTTTTTTTCTCGATGTGAACTGTTTCGGTTAATTCCCGAATCCTATAATCAAACGATAGGCATAAACAAAATATTTGTACAATTTTTTACAATTATGTTAGATATATCAATACTTGTTTTCCAAACTAATACGATATTTTTCTTGAGCTATTTTTTCTGCCTCATACGCAGCATATTTTTTGACGGTTTCTTTCAAACGTTGTTCCCAATTATTATCCTTTTGTTTCAGTTCTAATTCCTTCTTTTTGATAGTAGTGTTTAAATGATTTATTTCACATTCTTGTTTGCATATCTATAACGGTTATAAAAAATGTTACTTTGTTGATAATTTCTTTATAATAATGCGGTTCTTACTTTGGCCTCTGCTTCCTTCAGCTTT